GGTGGGGGGGGGGGGGGGGGAGACTAGGTCTTTAAATCTTGGCCCAACTTGTTTAAGTAAATTTGTTTTTTTTCATTATATTCATCACTAACATTTCTTCTTCGCATTTTCATTATTTACAAAATGAACTTGGTCAAGACCTTAGGTCCCAAGTTCAAAATTAAGATAGAGTTGAAAATGAATTGTGAAAAACAAAATAACTGAAGTGGAAAATAACTAATGAGGCATAAAATGTTCCTCCTTCATTTGTAAATTAGGTGGCGTTTTGCAAAACTTTTATTTTTAGGAAAAGGTTACCCAAATTTGTAACTTTGGGCTAAAGGGTAAATCCCAAAGCATCTCTTAAAAGAGTTCAATTGTGCTCTTCGACATGTAAATTATTGGATTGTCATAACTATTTTGTGGAAATAAAAAGTTGATTCAGACTCCCGTCTTGAAAGACTTTATTGCTTTTCAGGTATTTTTATAACAATCGTAATATTTGAAAAATAAACATCTTTTCCAATGATAACAATTTGAATGCACTTTAAGTAACACTTTACGGTAGACTTTCTCATGTGGCAGAAATAAACTTCCTATAAATGTCAGTACTTTCCTTTTTCACCATGCGCTCAAGATTGTCATGGAGATCAAGACTGCTTAAACTTCTTTTTGAGACAGTTAAAACAAATTTAAATTTATAACTTAATAACCTGTTCTGATATCATTATAATATTTTCAATGGTTTTGGATAATAAAAAACCTTGCCGATAAGGAGGAAAATTACTGAAATTTACAAGAAAATTTAATTTGCTCCACTAAAGTCTAATGTGCTATATCTTGTGCAAAAGACTTCAATGAAAAAAAATACTGTAAAAAATTACTTAATGAATATGGTCAAAAATATTTCCCGTTCTCTCACTTTCCCTGAAGTTAATAATGTAAGCACATTTTGGCCTCCCTTGGTCAAAATGAAATGTGCAAATAAGTACAAATAGCCCTGTCCTTTTATATAAATTTTTCCTTGTTAAAAAAGTTTATGGAAGTCCACTTGGCTGCTGGTTCAATACATTTAAGGCACAATTCACAATTTATTCAACAGTGGTGTCCTCAATTCCCCTTGATATAGACCTAGATGTCCATACGACGCCACATTTGAAACAATCTTCGAATCCTGCGGTGAAAACAACTCTAGTCTATTCAACGAAGCACACCCTTCCCTAAACTCCTTCAGAGTGACCACGGAATCCGTCTCCGAGTCCGATACACCATAGAGGTCAGGCTCAGCAGGGTACCGGTCATCCCCAGGCCACAGCTCAGCCACTCCGTCCGAGCACGGCACCAGCACCGGAAGCCAACGTTCCATGCCGTGCTGCTCGCGCGTAACGCTGAACCTTTGCAGGTGCTCTATGCTAGGGTGGTTGCATAGTCCACTACACGTAAACACTTGAGGGGGAGGAAGATAAATCAGATGAGCCTGATGGTCAAGCAGAGCATCAACAGGACTGACCCACTCAGCCTTGACCATCTCCCGCTGACAATGCGACACGTCCAAGAGATCATCTATACAGCAAAGGAAGAATAAAGCATCGTATCTCCGCGGGGCAAGTTTGTGATCTGCCCCTTTTCCGGGCTTTACGCCGGCGGTGGGGGTCAGCCAATTGAACCACTCCCTTAATGCCCATACATCAGGCACTATACTAAACTCCTGACACATGGTTAGAAATGTGTTTGCATTGGAGTCCACCTTAGACTGCCACTGGGCAAGGACTGACCAATCTAAGCCACAGTGGTCAGCTATTTTAAGTCCACTGTTCTTGTAGAACTTCCCAGAATTTGTGACTTCTGACTTGGGGCCACTGAAATGTGATTTAAGAATTGTAATAGTCAAAGTCAACTTATCATTAAAAAATTATGATTAAACATTTAATACTTAACAGAAAATTATAAATGGACACTTTTTCTCTTTATACTTTTGATACCATTACTTTTTAATTAAAAATAACCCTTTTCACTTTGTTTTTATTTGCAAAGTCTACAGAACATATCTTTTATGGATTTTAGACTCTAAAGAAATAAATGTACCTGTATTATAATTATGTTTTAAAGAAATTCAAAGATGAATAGTACTAGAACATGTAAGTCAAAATACAAGTACATGTATTTGCATAACTCTTTTATATCAGCTTTTTATTGCTTTTGTTAAATATAAGTGTGTGTGTGTGTGCTTGTGTGTTTCACAAAATAGCAAAATAATTTTAAAGCAGGTTAAAATTAATGCAAGTATAACACAAAATCTGTGCATTACTGACATGTCTCAAAGGTTCACTTTTTACTGTCTAATTTTATTATTATTATTATTATTATTATTATTATTATTATTATTATCTATTTATTTTGAATGATACTGAAAACAACATAGGCATGCTGATAGAGTATATAGGCTGAATTATAATTTCAAGTGAAGTCTAAGACTCAGGGTGTTCAACTTACTGTGATTGCCTGATAAATCTCCTGCCCAGTAAAATACCAGATTCCTCGTACGTTTCCCGTATTGCACAGATGCGAAAAGCCACTTCCCTCGGCAACGCAACTTCAGAGCCAGACACTTTCTGTCGAGGCCGAGTGCGAAACGCCAAAGGCCGAGGGCCTGGAATATCGGAGAATTTCTTCAGTTCTTCCACCCCTACGCCAGCGGACTCAAACAGCTTTACCCATTCCGAAGACTCATCAGCCGGATCCAACACACCCCCGGGAAATACGTTCGCACTTGGCATGAAGCCGCTACGAGAGCTTCGTTTCAGCATCAAGAGTTTATAATCGAAAGGGATCAAAGTCCCCGGACGGGACGCATTCGGTGCTTTCGCGGCTAGGACTAGCGTCGCTGCTTCCTTCCAAGGCGATGACATTGTGTTAAAGTGACGGAAAAGAAGGCGGTGCATACCTACATACTGGCATTCAAGAACTGGGTCATATATGATTGTGAAACTTGATTGATAATACTGTCAACGTGTACCCGCCCGTGCAAGGACAAGGCATGTTTATTCCGGAAGTTGACTACCGGAAGTAATGATGGGATTGAGTTAGAGGAGCTTGTGATTGCTTTAAAATTGTCACATCTAACACACTGAAATAAGCTTACACATTTTATCAATCAAATATGATAAGTAGAGGCTGAACATCAGAACTTTTCAGTCGATAACAGTTTTCTTTCTTCTTTTCTTTTCTTTTTTTATAGTTTTATGAAAATGATTATATTCTTTAGGCCTATTGTAGATGCCATGTCATTTTAATTAAAGAAGCAAATTCGGAATAATAAGTCCAAAATGGCCCAACGTGAAGGCCTACATTGTAATGCACTTTTTGTAGGCTTATCTCATCTTTTTGTACAATTCACTTTTTCAATCAGTTTATGCACAAATAAATAAATAAATAAATAGATAAATAAATAAATAAATAAATAAATAAATAAATAAATAAATAAATAAATAAATAAAAATAGCAATAAGAATTCCCTGGAAATTGTATCGTTTAAAGACGTCACATGGCGATAAGGACTGGGTAACAAAAGCCGGTACCAAAAAGAAAGGCTTACATCACCGCGGGCACGTACATCTGTCTTACCTGGAACAGTAATATGACTCATATAATGTCTCTCAGCGCGACTTATATTTTCTGCATAGCCCTAAAATGACATTTATATTGAGCAGTGCGCTCTCTTCATTGGACCGACGCCAGGTGCATATGATGTCTCCGGGCTAAATCTTTTGATTGCCACTGTTTTTTCAGAGGACAAAACTCTCTCCTTCGTCGTGAGTGCTTCTGCAGTTTTTTTACCGGCATATGATAGGAAAAACCAGAAAAGTACTCAGAGAGCACGAGACCTTCGCCAACACAAATAATAAACCTATAATTTACCATTTATTAATTAATGGACCTTGACAAAGTCTAATCACTAAAATTAAAGTTAGTTCATTTTTGACCTAGGCTATCCGGAAAATCTTCACCAAAATCCATCCATATCTTTGAGTTAGGCTGGTGACGAACAGACAAACAAACAAACAAACAAACACAAACAAACAAACGAACAGTCAAACGGAGGTGTAGTTTTTTTTTTCTTTTCCTATTTTTTTACATACTTAATTGCTGCAGAAGCCAGAGATGACATTGCTGAAAGGTCATTGTCAGAGAAAGACTTTTAAACGTGTTTTCTCTAACCTGTACTTATCATACGGGATCCCGGACTTCCGTTCCTAGGACTACCATTCTCATAGATTAGATCGACCTACATTGGATCGACCTAACTCCCTGGGGGTTCACGCTAAATAGCTGTCAGCCGGGCGGACACGAAAGTTATGTACCCCTTAAAGCTTGTAGTAGGCGGAGACGGACACTTAAGGGGGATTATCTGACAGTAATCTAGTGAGACTCCCCGCGGTGATAGATCGATCTAAAAGTTGTGAGAACAGAGCCCTAGGACTACCATTCCTGTCCTGATCATACCGGGTTGATTTACTGTACCTGGAGACTGAAATAGAAATGTCGTCTGCGACAGAAAAAAAAACCAAGTCCAGATTACGTAAGGATGGCGTAATCGTTTGTTTTTGTCTTATATAAGTTTTGGAGGGAAAATGGAAGGAGTTTTTTCAGAACCTGGGGGAGGTGGGGGGGCTTGATCCTGAATGAAGTCAGCCCTTGAAATGAAGACATAGATTTCGATATTTCTCAAAATTTCAACGAATATGTGAGTCTTTTTTCAGGAGGTTAAAAGTAAGAGACGAAGCATAGTTGACGAAAGTAATTAGTGTACACACATCAAGATAATAAATTTTGATGGATAGGCTTCTGCAGGCGATTCACCTCTTTTAATTTTTTTTTTTGTTAAATCCTTTAACCACGAATGTTCTATCGTCTGTGACCTTGGCAGTTTGCTACATTTGTTTCAAGCTGCAATTATATAAAAAAGAAAATTTATGCAAATTGATCATGTCGCGGATGTGAGGTCACCTTGGTGTGCAGACTTAATATTAACCACGGCATTAGGAGCTACATTAATTTGGAGTCACCATATTTAAGGGGAAGGGCTTAATAACGCCGTTAAAGTGTAAATTATATAAAACGTGTCACTCTGTGCCAGGGAAGATGCACATGTCTTTAAGAGGCACAGACAAGCACAGGTAACGTTTACGAGTTCTCTCCTTTGTTTTAACGAGATGCTGTGACATGCCTTTGGGTCAAGGAAAACGCCGACTTAAGGACTGTTTCATTAATTATCGAAAGTTACACCGAGCACTTGGCTTGCACATCTAGCCGAGGTACGGCGTTTGTTCAGCTGGTCGCCTGAAATGTAAGTGAAAGGAGTGTGTGGCTGTGTAACACACTCGCACACGCACGCACGCACGCATACACACACACACGCAAGCACGCATGCACGCACGCAAACACACACACATGGACAGAGTATAGGATAAAATGAGTGTTTGTGTTTATGCGTCCGCGCGCGCACGTGAGTGTGTGTGTGTGTGTGTGTGTGTGTGTGTGTTTGTGTGCGCGCGCGCACTCTTGGGCTCGTGTATATTATACAACCACCTTATCAGACACTGGTGAATATTTTGATTTCGTTTAACTTAACACCAAGGTAAGTATCCATTTATTCTGAAGTTCATGTCAACCCCGTCGTTATAATATATAGTGAGATTCCATTAACATATTTAAAATGACTTGAAAGCGGCTTTAATATCGAAGAACAAAGAGTGTTAGCGTAACTGTTGACTGAAGAAAAAATAACATGGGCCTATATCACGAAAGATCTTAAGTCGGCTGTCAAGTTCTTGAGAGTGTCTAAGCTGCTAAAACCGGGCATCACGTCATAGAAAAGTCGAGGCATGCGACGTTTTAGATTCTTTAAGGATCCGCGAGACACTCACCTTAGTCGACTAGCTAATTCTGAGTAGGCTCAGGAATTCGGACCATTTTTGAAACTGAGTGTGCTACACAGCTGATGCAGGTCGAAATGATTTACAGTAATAGTCCTGCATCATGGAGGTTTTATTGCAGTGCATTTAGAGTTAAGTGGTCTGTATATATAATACCTTTTTGATTTTCCGGACATGTTGTGACGACCTCGTGAACGTCATTGTTTATTAATGTATTCCTCGTAGTAGTAGTGGAACCCGCTTTACATTCAGGAATATTAATGGCGTCTTGGACGCCTTGACTTAAAATTTGTCAACACACACACATACGCATGCGCCCGCGTACGCGCACACACAATCTGCCAACCAGTTTTATTCGTACGTTTAATTTTCTTTTCAACAATAAATATTGTAGGGATAAATAAGCAAAAATGCTCATTAGCTTGGTAGTTGTATCATATCAATTAATCAAAATGTTTTCTGAATCAAAAATTTTTTTCCTTTTTTTAAAAATGACAATTAAGAAACATTGGATTTGTTAATAAAATTAAACCATAAAATTAGTGCTGCAGTCCCAACACTCCCATACGTTTTTAATGCCTTTTTTTGTATCTTTTCGCAATAATTGAATTTGACCACTCGATCTAATTAGACTTCTAATGAGACTGGCAAGTTGTTCAAATGAAATGGACAGTTGCTCTTTAAAAAATTTAAATCAAGAGTAATATTTTATTGACAGTTCTTAGAGAAATATTGGTGACCAATGCAGATTGCAGACAGAACTGGTATAATGTAATCGGACTTGTGAATTTTGGACTCCAATAGACTGAAGTTTTCCATTTGTTAGTTTGGTATTCCAAATAGGAGGCTATTGCAATAATTGAGTCTAGAAGTAAAAAATACATGGATGAGTAGCTTTGTTTGCTTGCTGTCAATAATGTGTAGAATCTTAGAAATTCGTTGCAGACTAAAATATGATAATTTACACACTTCCTTTATGTATGATCTCATCTCACATTTGTAAAAACTACAATCAAGTTTCTAACTACAGCTATGTGCTCTTTTATAACAGAATCGCCAACTCTGATACTATCTAGATAGGTACTGGATTTCAAAAACCTAGAGCTGAAATTTACCAATTCAGTTTTGCCTACATCATTGAAGACTAAAATAGTTGGACTTGAGCCAGGATCTGAGTTCATACATACAAGCCTCAATAATTGCTTTTTTTTATCACAATCATTTCCATTAATAGCTAGCATACATCTAGGGGCGCATGCCCATAGATTTTAGATCGATCTATCCCCGTGGGGAGTCTCACTAGATTACTGTCAGATAATCCGGCTTAAATGTCCGTCCCGCCCACTACAAGCTGTAAGGGGGTAACTGACGGTTGGCTGACTGCAATTTAGCGTGAACCCCCAGGGAGTTAGGTCGATCTAGTAAGCTCGATCTAAATCTCTGGGAATGCCCTCTAGGAATTTTCAGCTAGTGTAAAATTATTATCATCTATCAATGTTCGGGATAGTTCATTTGAAATACATACCACAACGCAGCGGACGCAGGGTACTATTACACGCTTGATTAAAAACGTTAATTTTATCTCGAGTCATATTATTGGCTATTAGGGCTCATTTCCAATGACATTATCGGTCTATGCAGATCGATCCAACTCTGTGTGGACTCTTGCTGAATGCAGTCATCTTAACACGCCTCCTCGTGTTGAGTAAAATACGGAAAAGCTGGTGATACGATTACGTTGGGAACAAGAGGAAGAGTATCATTTATTTCAGTTGATTGCATTCAGCGAGACCCCCCACAAAGTTGGCTCGACCTACATGGACAAATAGTATCGTTGTTTAGTTTAGTTTGAGGTTTATGCCCCATATGGCGTCTCCAGCTGTTCGTTGCAAAAGGCGAAGACCAAATGGCCGTAAATTAGATCATAGGAATATCCATATTCACTCATTCTCAATGTAAAGGTCCACTTAGCATTTTTTTTTATTTTATTAAAAGTAAGCGAGCGGAAGAATTGTTCGTCAAAGTGGAACTTAGCTAACATGAGTCTAGCAATTTACAAAATAAATTAACAATAACTAGCTTTATCTGTTCTCACAAAAAAAAAAAAAAAAAAAAAAAAAAACGGACTAAATTAAAAAACTTCGTTACTGTCGCTTGCAGAA